CTAACAATGTTCAGAGACATTATGGGAGGTTTCACTTTTTGACAGGAATATTTAATACATAGCTTTAATGAGTTTAAAATACAGAAGGTCTTCTGCTGTTCTTCACTGGCATCGCATTTGATAAAACATAGTAACAACTACAGAAAATAGATTTAGATGAAGTCCGCAGATATTTCCTAACATAAGATAGGAGTAAAACTCAATGTCATTTTAAAGATAAACATGCATTTTTCATACAAATAAATAATGCTATAAATTCTGCTGTACTGGGATGCAAATAACTTCAGCTGGAAAAACTGCATGACATGGGATTTACTTATCCTGCACGTTCACAGAAACAACTTGTTCTCTGACAGCACTCATTCTTGGCAATTTATTGCAGCTGTCAGCAGCCAATTTGTTCAGATTACTGCTCTGCATAAAGGTGTAACAATCATGAGGATTTATTAGCTGATTATCGTAAAGGTGACAGTCAGGATCGCCTTCGAAAATGCAGATGATAAGGAATTTTAATAATTACACAAAGATTAATACCATTTCACCTCCGTTTTGATCTTGGAATTATCTACATAAAATTATTGCAGTATGTGTTTTTAATCACAGTAGTGTATTGACTCAATATGGTAATGATTTACTCACTGAAAAAACATGAATATTAAATGTATTCATATTGAACAATATCCACATATACATTTGTGTTTCTACCTATCAGATGAAATAATGACTAATACTTAAGTTCTCATAGAATCATAGAATCACAGAATTGCTCAGGTTGGAAAAGACCTTAAAGATCATTGAGCCCAACCATGACCTAACCATACTACCCTAACTAACAACCTGCCACTAAATCATGACCCTGAGCACCACATCCAAACGGTTTTTAAACACATCCAGTGGTGGTGACTCAACCACCTCCCTGGGGAGCCCATTCCAGTGCTTAACAACCCTTTCTGTAAAGAAGTGTTTCCTGATATCCAACCTAAACCTACCCTGGTGCAATTTAAGGCCATTTCCCCTCGCCCTGTCACCTGTCACCAGTGAGAAGAGACCAGGATGACTTCCCTAGGAATGGAGTTTAGCACACCATTCCTGACACAAGCCAGGATGCCATTGGTCTTCTTGGCCACTTGGGCACACTGCTGGCTCATATTCAGCCAACTGTCCATCAGTACAGCAAGGTCCCTTTCTGTCAGGCAGCTTTCCAGCCACTCCTCCCCAAGCCTGTAGGGTTTCCTGGGGTTGTTATGACTCATGTTCACTGGAATGTAAAAAAGTTGCCTTAATGATTTCAAGGACTGATATCTTCTGAACCAAAACATCTTTAGACCTTATGTCACTTGTTCTTAATTTTTTTGTTTAAATATTCTTCTGAAGAACACCAGAATTTGATCTGTAACTTCTTATGGTGTGAAACTTAACTATGGTAAAGTTCCGTCATACGAATCAGCAGGTGAACACAAATATAATCTTCTCCAAGTTTTTGTATGAGATCTTTTAGGAGGCTTTTGAATCCTAAAATAAACACTGAAATGGTTCTCAGACTTCTTTTGGGAGAGGTATTCTTAGATGGAAGTTCACAATGCTCTACTTTTTTTATACTCACATGGGGAACACATGCAATTGCAACTCAGATGTATTTGACGAACACATAATGCTCAAAATTAAGAATGGAAATAAAGCAATCAGCATCTCATTTCAAGAACCACCACACTGAACTTGTCTGGGTACCAAAATGAAGATGGAACTTTATGTTAGTTCTATGACAGGTATATCTTTCTCCTCTGACTTAGAAGACAACCCTGCCACTACTGTTCTCCTTCTCTCACACAGCCCCAAAGCCAGTATCTCACTTCCATGTCTTTAGCCTTCTCTAATATTTTTTCTCCATCTTCATGCCCTCAAAAAGATAGCAATTCCCAGCTCTCAAAGTCTAAGCACACATGCCATCTGCACTTTGTCACATCCTTACTTCCTCCTGGCTCTCCACCACACTACAAGGCTCACAGAAGTTTGTGTTCTTGATTTACTTTTTTTTTTTTTTTTTTTAATTTCATTGAGGTGCAACTGAGACAAAATATATGCCAGGAGAAATTATGACATAAATTATAGACATGAATAAAACAGCGAATTTAGCAGAGGACGAGTAAGTCAATTCAAGGACACTTCAGTACCCGTTTCTGCAAGGCACACTGTGCTTGTCCTGTAACCCTCTAACCAGGAACCCTGTCTTGCAGAAGCCTGGTAAACATGGTAGCTCCCACACTGTCACTCAACCCTAGAGCACAATAGAGTTCAGCACCTCTGGTGGCCCATGAGCCAGCCAGCACAAGCTTGGATGGGAGATTATGAGAGTGCTGCCATGAGAAGCTTATCCACACCAAGATGCTGAGGGAACAGGGATGCTCGTGTTTTCCGTCCCCACAGTCAGTTTATTCTGGAAACTAAACTAGTTTTTGGGGCACTCCATAGCAAAGCAGCTCACCATTTTGCACCTTCCAGTACTGCTCCTAAACAACCTTTTTCAGACTGTTTTCTCAACTCTCTGGTTTGCCATTTCTTTCAATACGTAAGATCTCTTTCAACAACTACAGCTTCTCTGTAACCACAGTTAGGTCAGATGGGAATTTCTCAAGACAAAATAGTTTTTACTCTCATTTAATAAAATTATTTCTATGTAATACAGTAGCTACTACTTGCACATTATTCAAGAAGGTAGGAAGATTGTAACAAGATGAAAAAGATTATTCTCCATCACTGAGCTTACGCTAGAACACTACCCTTTTATTTCCTTCCTATGTGTTTCCTGGACACTGATTTAAAATATTTAGTTTATTTTATGCGCCTTAAAAAAGCCATGGAACTTCACTCATGTGCTTTATAAAATTAATACATATTTATCATAGTATATGCAGAGAACAAGTCCTCAACTTTCAGAAACAGCCTCAAAATGAGCAACTGGGTAGAGAGGTCCCTGGAAAGTAGAACTGTCAAGTGTCAGTGATTTTCATGCACAGTGACTCGAAAAGAGAATTAGGGAGGGTGAGTATTAAGACCTATCTTTGTGTTCAGATTGAGCTTGACAAATGACAAAATTTTTCATGGAAATCTTCATGGAGAGTAATGTGTTTGCAAGTTGCATTATCCAGAGATGTAGTACCACCTGAAGGTGAAATGAGAGAAGTGTCTGAAAGGACAAAGTGAAGAGGGATTATAAGTACACTGGTAGCCAAAAATGTCAAAAAAATCAAGAGCAGAGAGATTTTGGTAGAAATACCATGGATTTTGTTAATGTCAGTTCAATACTGCAGAAACACCAAAGGAGAGCTTTATCAGAGGAAGGATTTTTTGGTATTTATGCTATATAAAAAGTACATATCTAGGCAAACGAAAAATAGAAAACAAGATAAAAAAAAATAAAGAAAAATTAAATGCTCTGAGCATTTTTCATCAAGGGAAGATTTCCCATACTATCACATTTCCTGTGCTTTAATAAAATGTAGAAATTACGTGATGCTTACTACTGGACAGTCTTCAGTTACTAAAAAGAAATACATTCAAATTTAAAATAGTTTAAAATTTTTACGAGTCTGAAGAGCTATCTACATAGCAGTGTGCTTTAAGTTACAAATGTTCCTTATACTTCCCTAATTTCCCCACTGAATTCTTATTTAGATACTGGAACAAAAAATGTATCTATTTTATGACATTCTCTTCAAAATACTTAAAATATACTATTTTAATCACAGTAATAATAATAATTTAAGTATTGCTTTGATGACAGTGTTCTGAAATCATACATCAGAACTCCAAAACTTGCCATGTTTTGGATAACAAAGTTAAAGCTAAGCAGAAAACAGAAATGATTTCTCAAGGTTTACCACATACTGAAATATGCCTAATTGATTACATTACTTCAGAAAAATAGCCACTGCTGACATATGTGCTGACTGAAGTACAAAAAAACCTTCAAATATACATGAACTTCAAATATAAACATATCATCTCATCCACAGAGTTTTATGGTATAAAATAAAATTCCACCATGTATACTTTGACAAGTGTTCTTGTCCAATATTAAGGCTGTTTGTCTGCCAAAGACCGCATCTTTTCTGACTTCCAATTATTTATGGTAGAATTAAACACACAATATTATCTGACTGATCCAAATAAACCTAAATAGATGCAAAAGAAGAAAAAGGTTTGTAGAAACATAAACACATCTGTAGGATTTCCATTTCTCATTTAAACATCCCCTAAAAGCAATCCTATTAGTTGGTAGTATCAGTTTCCCAATGAAAGCACCTATAACCAGTGTTCTAAAAATCAAAGTAGACAACTGTCAGACAGAAGACTGACAATTCTTTTTATTGAGAAAGTAAGGATATCTACTACAGTATGACATAAATACTTATCTGAGCTTTCAAAGTAGCACTGACTGTACAGCATCTATAAGACAGATTTTTTTCCCTCATTAGATAACAGCTAATGCCACTGTTATAAAGTATTAGTATATATCATTTTCTAACACCGTAAAAACAAGCAAAATCACACAAATTTCTTGAAGTGCAAGTAGCCCAAGAAGACTCTAATTTCATTCACCAAGTAGATTAAAACAATAAGAACAACATTTTGATGTCATGTGTGTATTACAAGTCATGAGAATTATTTCTCCTTCAAGCCATACCTTGTAATATGGAACCTGCCGCATCTTGATTAGACTTCCAGTCATGGGATTCTTATTTTGGAAAACCTATGCCTATCAATTGGTAAAAGCTGCCACCTACTGGTCAATAGAAATTATTTTACACCATCAAAGTAACGAATAAAATAAATGCAGCAAACTGTACTCATACTTTGTAAAAAATCCTCTGCCACCTTTAAAAAAAAAATTAAAAAAAAAGGCAAGAACAAATGGTCATAAGAAACAGTTTCATCGCCAAGGCTCATTTTAATCATCTGTTCTCACCCCCAGAGAACTAGAAGGCTATAACTGTACAAACCTGCCAATAAAATCATCCTTTTTGCCAGCATCTTTGTCCCACACGGTAATATCAATAATTCCACCTCGTTCTTCATAGAGATGAAAGTCAAACTGCTCTCTCCACTGAGGATTCAAAGTTTTTGGCATAATCTGAAAAGAGCACAAAAAGAAAGTCATACTACATTGTGTAGGCATACTGTTTTTTAAATTCTAAATTTGGTATTTAGAGTCTGTCCTTAAAGTTTTTTTGCAGTATAATAATGTTAAGAAGTGAGAATTTTAAACACAGTAATTAAAAAAAAAACTATTGGTCAGCTCTATCATGCTTATGTGACACATCAGCAACCTCCAAAATCTTTCAGCCTGTCACCTTCAAAAGCATCCAGAACAAAGGGCTTACCCTGGGAATGGAACCATTTTTCTGTAGAATAATCATGCCCTACCTTGAGTGACAGTTAGCTACAAAGTGTCTCAGCCTAAAGGAAAACAAAGCACCTGAAATGACAAGTAGATGGTTACTGAAAAGACTTAAACAGAAACAATTTGATGACCTCCTTCTTCCCCAGCTTCAGAAACACTTGGAGAAAAATGATACCATGATATCTTATGGAAGAATAATCTTTTACTTTAATTTTAAGAAACAAGAATTGGAGAAAAAAAACTGACAGAAGTCTGCAGGTTACTCCCCTTCCTCTGCAGCTAATATAAAAATAATTTTCTGAATCGTTTTTGGTCCAACTACTCTCAAAAATCATACCTGACTTCAATGGATTTCAGTCTATGTACTTGTAAACATGCTCTGCAGTACAGAAAGCTTGCAGTTTTTATAACCAAAATGCAAAAGCAGTTGTCACATCCATCCTAAGCAAAAATTGAAGCTGCTGAGTACCTTGTTTATGAAGATATCACTCTTTTCTATGTTGATGAAACTGCCTTGAAAAAAATTAAACATTAATAAAGATTAAGAGATAATGGTCCTATTAAAATATTAAAGTCCCAAAAGCCTGAGACTCGATTTCTCAATTTTGTTTTGTACATGAGAAGATACATGAGATTAAAAAACAAAACAAAACAAAAACCCACATTTTTTCAAACTGAATAACTATCACAAAATTGAGTGACAACAGTGGTGAAAAAGTAGGTAAATATGTACTCTGGAGGTACAGGAAATAAAAACACTGAATTCCAGCTAACTGACTTTTCAGGCATTTGATAGGAACTCCCTGCTACACAAGGGTCCTGATGCCATTTCATAGGTGCAATCTCAGTACTATGCACTGTAAATTGCTTATCACAAAGAATTTTAAAAAGTGGATGAAACGGTCAAATACTAATAAATATGTGTGTATACATATATTGATCACATAGCACCTATGCAGGTCCAATTCATACCACAAAAAAAGGTAAAGAACAGACACTCCATCCATCGTAAGACAACAAAGATACTAAAAGTTGATCAAAGGAACAAATACATTCCCAAATATTGAACATCTGTATGAAAACAACTGGCAAGCAATTGTAATGCAAAGAATTTACATTTCCTATCAGGTTTACTTTTTTACAGAAGAAAACACGTGAATTGTTTTCATAAAATAAATAAAATGCAGATAGTGTTAAATAGTATCTAGAGGATATTGAAAGTGAAGATATGCCAATTAAACCATGTGTTTTCTATTGATGCTACTGAAACATTAATATTTCTGACATATCCTTTGCTATAAATTTCTAAATATGCTTGTCATTTTGTGCCCATTAGCCAAAATCGTTATAGACAATGATCATTCAATATTCACCTCTGAAAAATACCTTGCCCGTATTTCAAACTGGTAAGCACATATTCTGATTTTGTTTGAGATGCCTGAGAAAGAAGTGCATTTCTTCAGTCTTTTATTTTGTTTGCCTCAAAATGAGTTACTGAAAAGAACTCATGTAAATACTTGATAGAAAACAGAATATTTTTTTCTGATTTTCAGAAACCAAATAATGACAGAGAAGCTGTCTCTAATATCCCAGGTGAATTTGAAAACAATACATGCATATATACAAACAGAACTGGACCTGACTTCCTCAATAAGCAGTTCAAATTCAGGAGACAGACTGTGATCTGAATTAGGGCTCCTGACAGAATTTTCTTACCTAAAATTTTAGGAATACCAAGATACATTTTCAAAAGCTTAATTAAACACAGTAGTTAAGGAGCAGGAAAAAAAAGCCTCTCACACCTACTTAAAACCCCTTTTTGATTCTTGTGTGATTCTTGACAAAATGTTCAGAGTACCAATTCCCTGTTCAAGAGAAGATGGGAACTAAAAAAAAAAAAAAGCCAAATAATCTGTATGGAAAATACAGTGTGCCTCCTTACTCAATTACAGTTTTAGCAGTCTTTTTTGTTGTCCAGTATTATTTTTGTTTATAATTAAATAAAATATTTGAATAAATATTGAGGTACTCTGGCAGTTATATATGATCATGCAAAAAAAACCACAAAAGCAAAACCAAACACATCCAGGAAGAAACACAGAAAATTTCAACATGGTCTAAGTGCAGTTTAGGTCACAGTTAAATTTACCTTGCTCTTATACTTCTGATGCCCCAAACGGAATTTCACGTAAGGATCACTCAGCCCATTTGCATCCATCGCCTTAAGGTCACGGCCTTCAATCAAGGTAATACTGACTATTCCTCTCCATAGCTGAGATTTTCTGTGCAGATCTGAGAGACGTAAGCTCTGGGTCTGAAACTTCAGGGAAATAAAAACATGAATTTAGTTAAGACAAATCCAGAATTTTTCTCTGCATTTTAATGTTCCTCTTCATACTATCACGAATGCAAAACAACCATCTTAAGCCATTTTTAAGTTATTTGTCAGTATACAAGTAAACCACATTATGAAGAATTACTTGGAGAGTAAATGGTAACAAATGCACACATAATGGCATATGCTGCTTTTGCAGAATGCATGCTAACACTGCTTAAGGGAATTTTTGAAACAGCAATTTTGGTTACCCTGCTTCACTTCTTCCCCTGCCAAGAGAACTAAGAACAAGTAGACATTGCACATTCTCTCATATTACTTGCATATGATTGAATGAACTTGAACAAACACTACAACACACATAAAGAACAGTGAGAAAATGAAACATTCAAATACAAACTAACCATGAGAAACATGGATCAAGGAAAAATGAAACAATAAAATCCTGTACCTGACAACTATCTGCAGTCTCTAAAGTGATCTGGTAGTTGTGAGAATCCTTCTTTGTTTTTTTTTTTTTTGGCTCAAAGCTTGCTTCCTGAGGTTTTTCTTGTGATAAGACTCTGAGTGATTTGTCAAGGAGGCAAGTGATGGGTGCTAACCGTTTGACAATGGATTTCGCTTTGGGAACATTTGAAAGCCCCTTCTCCCAGAGCTGCTTGCTCTGTAGAAGAGCGGAAGAGAGTGCTCAGGAGTGTTCACTTGTGGCAGATCTGGCCTGTGACAAAACAGCTCCAGCTTAGTATGGGAGGGCTGGGGAATGATACCATTGTATCCTGCGAAGGCAAGATACAAGTTGGTGCCTGCCTGCTTCCTCTTATCTGCTGGCAAGGCCAGAAAGATAAGAACAAAGGAGGTTCCTACTGAGATCCCAGAGCCAGAAGCTGCCACCCCAAGGAGAACTGACTCAACCACCTTGGGTTTGAGCTGTCACTCAAAGGAGAGCTGACTCAACCACTTTGGGTTTGAGCTGTCACTCCAAAGACAGCTGACTCAACCACTTTGAAGCATTGAAAAGGGGCCATCATCGCCATGGTCATCGTCGTCGTCGTCAATAGAAGAACAATGCCTGACGACCCACCACTACTGAGGATCAAAGACAGAACTATGAACCTCGCTGGATCATGGTGGTGACTATGTCCCTCTTGCTGCCTATAAAGACTCCTTGCTTCTTCTTTCCTATCTTTTCTATCGCCCTCCTTCCCTTCCCCATTACCCTAATTCATAATAGTGTCTGTCTTCCCCTTCCCCATTTCCCTAATTAAGATCTGTAATAAATTGGTCAGACCAACATTTGAACCGTTGTTTCTTAATCTCATGCCAGGTATATAGATAATAAAAGAGCCTCCTCTCCCTCCTATAAATTGGAGCGAGACAGTAGTCTCAGAAACAGTATGGAAAACTGAATCTATTGAGGACATAGTCATTCAAGACTTTCTTGACAATACATTGCTGATCCTCTGATTGGAAACGTGCACTTGTGGACTCTCAGCCATTAACTTTCAGGCAAAAAAAAAAAAATCCACATGGACATGCACAAACCAAACGACCTAAATATTCACTGACAAATTCCTCTGTGGGAGAAGGCTGAGTGAGGAGAACAGACAAATCACCTTTGCCTCCTCAGGTATGCCAAATTTGTTTTAGGGTGCATGGGAAGACACCTTTCATTCTACTATTGTATTCATTCAAAATACGACTGCAGAGGGACTTCTCACAAAATTGTCTTTTCGTCAAAGGCAATCAGAGAACCAGGGAGTTCATCTGTGGAGTAGCATTTAACTTAACCTGCTAGATAAAACAGCAGTGTGCCAACAGAGAGCAGAAATCCCACACAACTTGGGGCACAAGAGGGAAACTCAGTAATTGGAAGAGTTTAACTTACAACATGAAAACATGGTAAATTATAAAACTCAGTGAATTGTAATTTAGCAAAAATATCCTTCATATGGTAGTACACAGACGTTTCAAAACATTTGTGTTGTAAACAAACATAGTTTTTTTCTAATTGTTCCAATTTCTTAGAGTGTTTGGAACCAAAGGAAGACTGAATAGTAGTTATGACTCCACCCCTAATGTATAGTGATGAGATACTGTTGTGGTTAACCTGGAAGGTAGCACAGTGCCGCAGTCATCTGCTCACTGCCCTGCTTCCTAGTGGGCTGGGGGAGAGAACTGGAAAAAGAAAAAAAAAAAAAAAGTAGAACTTGTATGTTGAGATAAAACTATTTACTAAGATAGAGAACAAGAGAACAAGAAAAGGATAACAATTATGAGAAAGATATATATGTATAAATGTATATAACAAGTGATGAAGAAGGAATTGCTCACTGCCACCTGACTGATGACCAATGTACCTGAACAGTGGGAGAGTGCAAGATGAACTCCCACTCTCCTCTGAACTCCTTCTGCTTGGTGTGGTATATAATATCCTTTTGGATACTTTAAGTCAGCTGTCCCAAATCTGTTCTCTCCCAGCTCCTTGGGCCTTTTGCTGTCAATAGCCTTGGCTCTGTACAACACTGCTTAGCAGCAAGCATAAACATTGGTGGTTATCAAGATTGTTTGTCTCCTAGAATCAAAACAGCATCATACCAGATGCTCTGAAGTAAAAAGAAAAGAATCCTTCCTAGGTGAAACTAAGACAGAGATACAGATTGAAGAATCAGAAATATGAGAGAAATACACTTAAAAAAAGATTTCATACTGGGACAGAAGCAGTGACTTGGTTGAGACATTTCAGCAAAGAATATACGTTATTTTCTTTAAAACTTGAATGTCAATCCAACTGTTTCCAGAATACTATTGTGGAAAATAGGCATTTAATTTTACTTATAGCTTTGGAACTCTTTTAAAGTAAAACCTAACCACAACTATTATTAGTGAGGTCTTTACCTCACTGACAGGGTATATTTGACCTAAATTCAACAGCTTTTAAAATAATTAGTTGCATTTGAGCAGCTGCCATCATATTCCATATGAAATGAGATTACTGTTTTTTTTTTTTTTATGATCAGTAAGGAGTATAATCAACTAATGTAATTTTCATATGAAGATCCAGCAGAGAGCATAAAATGACAGAGAGGTCAGACAGTTCACAAAAATCAGGCAGAAACCTCGAGAACAGATATGAATGTTTTGGTTCAGAAAGCCCTTTCAGGTCAGTGCCGATCACACTGCTTATGACATGCAAAGAGACCACCAGAGACCAGTAGCACGTTGACTGATAGCAAAGCTGCAGTTCAAATTTCAATCTGCAGGAATAAAGGAAACCAACTGCTAAAAATAAACTGATATGTGCTTGCTGCTGCTTCTTAGAAGCAGGGAATTTGGACAACAGCGCTGCTCTTCTCTTCCTGGCTTTATCAGTAACACACAGGTCCATTAAAAAAGCAAACTGCAGAACGAACACATACTGAAAGTGCAGGGCTACAGCTGAATGGAGCTAAAGCTATTGAGATTTCCTGGACATGAAAGGTACATGGTGTATGATCTTTTACAACAAGAATAACTTCTTCGGTATACTTTTATGTATTTATTTATTTTTACTTCTGTGGGAGATGGAACAGCATCTGAACAGACAATTTAACCACTCTTCTATTCCTGGCAAAGTCATCCTTACCGTCAGATATTACAGACATAGGTATAATCTCTAATTTCTAAACAGGAAGTTAAAAAAAGTAAATAAGAATACTTAGATTCCAAGTCAAACTTGCCAAAAGCTAAAATTCAGGAGAAAAATTAAAGACTTGTTTCATATTGTACAGTTCTTTCCCTATCAAGTTCATTTCATTTCATAGAGTGAGGCAGATGCATTATTTCTAGATACCTCTTCAGGTATCTGAGCCAGCCATAGCAGGCCACAACCCTTAGCATGATGTGAGAGCAGAAGTAAACTCACGATATTTATGTAAAAGAAAGATACCAACACCTATCTTTCTAGGTTATTCCAATAAAATAATATTTATTAAGACTTGCTCTTAACTATCTTATTTCCCTCAAAGTAATTAATGAATACTGCATCCTGGCTTCACTCTTTACCACAGACTGATAGCAACACGAAAAAACGGCATAGTTTTTCTGGGAATTTCTCTGGGAATAGGTATACAGCTATATTTCATAATACTTCCATCTGTAATTGGAGATACTGCCTACATGATGTCACAGTTCTGAAAGAAGCAAAATCAAGATCTCAGGCCATTATAGATAACTATACACATATACATATATATGTATGCACATATATATGTATAACTATACACATATACATAACTATATTCATATGTATATATATATCACTATTGATAACTATAATTAGCATAAGATTTTTAAAATGTTGCAATTGCATACTGTGAAACTTTCCCTCCTTTCTCCCCAAAGAAGATTAAAATTAAGACTTTTGAAAGGAAGTCTTTTGTATCAAAAGATACTTGAAGCTGCCTGCAAGAAGTAGTCACATAATTTCAAATTCATACACTGATTTAATACTTCTTCATACTTGTTCTATATGCAAAAATAACATTTTTGACCCAATAAAATTTGTGTTTTTATTTGTGTTCCACCTGCTTTTTCTGTATCTGGGATAGTCAGAAGGGTATGCAAACAACAGAAAATCTGCTGACACCAAAATAGAACATTATGTCAAATACACTATCAGAGCTGAAAGATGGTGTTACAACATGGTTTAATATTCTGCGTGTGGGCATATATCACTGCATATGCACAGCAAACCAACTATGCTTAGCAAAATGCAGGTGATGTTCCCAGGTACGGGTCCTCTGCTGTGCATTCCCAAACTCTTCTTGGGATGCCATGTAACCACGTCTCACTGACATAAAGGTAAGCTTCACCCTGGACTGAGGCTCTTGCCCATTCAGCATGGACTGTAATTTAATGTATGGACCAGAATCTTGTGTGCCAAGACTTCAAAGTATGTTCTGGAAGAATGCATTTATCAACACAAATTTATTATTACTTTCTCTGAT